GGATTCGGGTACGATCCGAGATCTAGGGATTTCAAAGTGGTCAGGGTTGTGAATTTCGTGGAAGGACCTGGATTCTTCCACCCTCCGAGAGTGGAAGTCTACGATTTGGGGAAAGATCGATGGAGAGAAATCAAAACCCCTGTTTGTGGCCACGTTTTCTGGGCGCCTTCGTTCGATATGTATCACGAAGGAATGTATTACTGGTGGGCGGACGCCGAGGGAGGGAGTGAAATCATCCAGTCGTTCGACATGAGCGAGGAGGTTTTCCGGCCGATTCCGGTGCCGGAGAGCTTCGAGGAACTGCGTGAGAAGTACAGAAGTATGGGCGTTTGGAAGGGATCGATTGTTCTGTTCCATTATCTGCCCGGCGCCGATGAGAAAACCTTCGACATTTGGGCGATGGAGAAGGACAATTCAGGTGGGGTTTCGTGGTCGAAGGCATTGACAATCGGCCCTGTTTCTGGAATTGAGAAACCATTGGTGTTTGTGAGCTCTGATGAGCTTCTAATGGAGGCCAAGGACGGGCAGGTGATATTGTACAATGTGAACACCGGGCAGGTGAAAGAGCTTCCAGTGAAAGGGCATCCGGGCAGATTCCATGCCACAGTTTTGTTGAAGAGTTTGGTGTCTGTGAAGGGAGGGAATAACTTCAGTTTTGAGTTTTAATGTGTGTTTTGTTGTGTTGTGAAACTTTTGTATTCAGTTCGTTTGGGTTTAGATCTGTTGAACCTTTCAGGTTAATGTTGTAAAGTAAAGCCAAGCTAATAATGCGATTAAAATCGTTGTTAGCTGTTTTATTTCCGTTACAGATCTTTTGTTATGTAATTTGCTGAAATTGTTGCCATCTCCAGTCTACTGGTACTCGCGGCCTGGTAGCTTGGAACTTGAAAGATCGAATGATCAAAAATTGGGAAAAAGAATTAACCTCTGTTCAAATGAGTAATCTAAATTTAAGATATTTTCATGTGTGAGTTGTTCTACAACTAACGAAAGAAGAGAACGAGGTGGGGGAGAGAGAAGAGTAAGAGGAGAAAGGGTGAGGTGAAGAACAGAGGAGAATAGAGAGAGAATGAAGTCTACCGTCTACCATACATGAACTTCAAAAAAGAAGATTTAGAAAGAATTGTTTTTTAAAATTTAATGCAACCATAGGAAGAAAACAACAACTGCACTTGGTTTTCCTCGAGCAGTTTCGCGGACCGAAATAATTATTGCCACGCGTTTGTTCTTTTATTAAATAAGTTAATTGTCAATCGGTTGATTTTTTTTCTTTTATAGGAGAAGCTCGTCGAGTTCCGTAACTTTACAATTAGATGATAAGTCCAAAAAGAAGCTGAAGTTTACAATTAGATGCTAGGCCATGGAAGGAAAAATTGGAGATTCTAAAAGTTGATAAATTTATTTTTCGAAATTGTGAAGTAGATTTTGAGGTACAATCATTCTTAGGATGCTGTTCTTAGTAACCGGTGACACTGTCTGATGAGCAAGTCAAGTTCAATCTCCTAGATGTAACGTATCTTCCCGATGAAGTTGAGGAGAGTGCATTGATGAGCAAGTCAAGTTCAATCTCCTAGATGTGACGTACCTTCCAGATGAAGTTGAGGAGAGTGCATAGAAATAAGGGCAACAGTAGAGGAGTTTCGGGAGCTGATTGTTGTAGGAGAATAGAAGTAGATTTGGAAGCCACTTAAAAAGATGCTGAAAAAGCACCTGACACTACTTCGGTAGCGATGGAAAGATTTAAGTCTTTGCAACCAACGACAACTGATCTAAAAATCTTGCGACCATTCATCATTAACCTCAATAATTAGAGAAGAAACCATCACCTTCACCTTCACCTCCCCATTTAAGGTACGCATATTTTGGTTTGAATGATACTTTACCAGTTATTGTTTCTTCTTATTTGACTAATGAGCATGAAACTTTGCTTTTGCAGATGTTATGCAAATACAAAAGGGCTATAGGATGGAGCATGACGGACATAAGTGATAAGCGCCAAGGTTGCTCGTGTTTACAAAGCTAGAGGTCCTTCTAGGATCCTTGCAAACATTCACAAAAACGACTAACTTACCGAATGATTTCAACCAAGAGTAAGGTTAGAAGATGAATCACTCTTAGATCGGACTTAGAATCTACGATGGTCACTCCTAGATCCTAAGACGACTCACTCCAGAATTAGCTTGATCGAGACTAATCCAATGAATCGGTTTAACATCAAACCTAAAGCAAGATTTGAAAGAAGCAACACCAAAAGTGTTAAGGAACAAAAGTTCTTGAATTTCAATATGTTTTAATCTTAAGTTATCCATAACAAGAGCATTACAAGCCTTTAAATAGGCCAAATGGTCGTTCAACATAAGAACACCAAAAGTTTTTCAAAATACTACTTAATGCAAATTGTAGAAAATAAGATATGCAAATTAAAACTTGATTGCACATCATTCTAGACACTTAAATGC